TCTTGATGAACTAGAAAGTTCTTGATGACATTGTAATGGTCATCAAGAACTTTACAGAAAAGTGGATGAACCCAGGCTGGAGGGTCCTCACAGACACCATTCCAGACAGTGCCAAGGCACACTGGGCAAGCCGATGTGAGTCTGGTGCTCGACTGGCAAACGAGGGCACAAAGCCAGATCTTATGTACATTAATGACACTGACAAATAGATGATAATTGCTGAAATAACTGTGTGCTCTGAACGCCGATATCTTGACCAAGAAGGAGGAAAAGTATGCATGGTTGGCAAGATTACTTGAGACAGAGTCATACAATTTACCTATGATAGCATGGCCCATCGGCCACCTCGGTGGTGTCAACAAAAGCGACGGCAAGGAGCTCCTCAACCGGTTAGGCATTAAGAATGTGAAGCGACTAACCGGGGATCTGCAACGGAGCATACAGAAGAAGGTCATCGCCGCCTCGTACCAAATCTGGGTGAGCCGATGCAGATCAGTCGAAACCATACAAGCAAAAGGAAGGGCAGAAATGCTTGAGTAACTTGCCCAAATCCACCGTCCCCCTAACAAGGACCCACTGCACCGAGGCGCATGCACGTCTCTTAACCACGACATGAGGAACTTACCCAAGATGACCAAAATCATCCTGGGAGACCCGTCTCATGTAAGCCCGTCCAACCTAAAACTACCAATAAATAAACATGTTACTGCCAACCATGTCTAAAAAATAAGATGGCACCTGACACGAAGTGACATACACCTGTGGCACATTAAAGGGCCTCAAAAGCCCCGGAAGCTGGGGACATGGACCCAAGTCACTGACCGGTACAAAAGTCATGCAGCCACAGACACTGTCCTACCCAAAGGGGACCACACAGAGATGAAATGGAACATCCCTGACTCACAACGGAGGACAGGGCCGTTAAAAGGGAAAAGGAAACCTGGAAAGCCCTAACCATGGCCAAATCCCAGCCCGCTAGCCTATTGACCAAAGCAGGAAAGGCAGGCCCCAAAGCCTAACCTCTCCCCCAACTCCCCCAGAACTATTCCACCAAGTAGGAGGGGGACAGCCCCCAAAACCTATGCAGGTGAGAATGCATACATGGCTGCAAGGCTAGTTATGAACCTCATGACACGTTTTCAGGAGGCCAGCCGAGCAGCCTATACCACAGTCAGCACAAACGCATGGTTCACAAGTGAACACCACCCAGACGAGCGCCTGGATAAAAAAGAGGCAACTATATATATTCTACCTTCCTGTCCCATCCTGCCCCATTCTACCTTCCTGTCCCATTCCCCCATTCCCGTTTCTTGTTTCCGATTTATATTGTCCATACCATTCGTGCAGTACTATTGTACGCAAATTAGTAATGTACGACGTGATGCATTCGCTTGCATTATTTGTGCAGTTGTTCGAGTCGTACTGTCGTACGTGTCGTGTACTGCGATTTTTGGCCACAAACTAAGTGTGTCGTATTTTCGATACGTCTTAGAATGTTGCATCTGTTTCCTTTCCCAACGAAAAGTCTAGCTTTTGCAGGCGTAGTAAGTTGGTGAGTAACAGAGACTGTAGGTTTTCCTTGACGGGAGCGACTTGCTGAATTGCAGGCGTTTCCTGGCTAGGATGGCCTGCACGAACACTCATTTGTAGTGTTAGTTCAATCAAAGCATGTGCACACTCTGTATAAGATGTGTGTACTATTGCCATGAAGTACTTGTGACTTTTTGTGCAATGTGCGTTGAGAGAGCTTGTACCTGTACGCGATGTGTATGCTTATGAACCGAGTGGAAATGCTAAGAACAGCACATGTGTAGCTTATACCGGCAAGGGGCTACCCCCTTGTCGTACAACAAGGTGTACGGCACGGGGCTTATCTCTGTGTGTCGTACATTGTCGTGTGTACGGCAAGGGGCTAGCCTACTGTCGTAGATGTTAAGCTATTATGTGCTTGCTAGCATCAAAGCTCTGCCAGCGGGAAGCCACATACCTTTAAACGCATATCCTCCTCTGCTGTGAAAGTGCACCTTTACACAGACTTTGGTTGATTCGAGTTGAAGGCTGTACGTCTGCTTCCGGGGCGATGGTTCAGAGCTGAAAGAATTTCAGAGGGGCCTAGTGAATAGTCATTTTCCGTACTACACAAATTTGACTTTGAGTTAGTACGGCGATGATTGAGTGCTTTCCAAATTGGGATAGCGACTTGAAAATTCGAAGCTACTTCCCTCGCATTTCTAGGAATGCGAGC